GGCGGCCGGGGCGCTGGGGGGCCCGGGAGCGGAGCCCCGGGGGATCCCGCTTCCCCCCCGCCCGGCCTAGGGACTCCCTCCTCGCCCGAGTCCCCTGCCGTGTTCCCCTTGGCCCTCTTGGGCTCGTCGGGACGGGCTGGCGGCCCCCCTTGCTCGCCTTTTGCCCGGGGCGAGGGCTGAGCCGCCTTTCGCCTCCGGTGGCCCCGGGGCTTTGGGCTTCCTCTTCCTCCGGCGGTAGTTGCCATTCTCGAACATGTCCAAGCACCGGGGGTCCAGGGTCCAGTAGCTGCCCTTGCCGGGCCGTCCCTTCTCCCGAGGCACCTTGACGAAGCAGTCGTTGAGGGAGAGGTTGTGGCGGATGCTGTTCTGCCAACCCTGCTTGTTGTCGTGATAAAAAGGGAAACGGTCCATGATGAACTGGTAGATACCGCTGAGGGTCACCTTCTGCTCCGGAGCTTCCTTGATGGCCATGGCGATGAGGGCGATGTAGCTGTAGGGGGGCTTCTGCGGGGGGTCCTGCCGGGAGATCGCGCTGCTGGGGGCGAAGCCCAGGGCGGCCGGGAGATAAACCATGGAGGGGCTGCCCATGGGGGAGAGGTGGCTGCCGTACATGTGGCTCATCGCCGGCGGGCTCTGAGCTCCGGCTTTTCCCCCTCGGAGCCGAGAGAAGGGACGGGGAAAGGCAAGGGACGAGTCCACCGGGGAGCTGTTTGTGCGAGCTCAGATCCCAGCCCTGCCCGAAGGAGCTCGCTCTGCCTCTGTCCCTGCTTCATAGCTCTTCAAAAAAAAAAAAAAGGGGGGGGGAAAAAAAAAGAAAAAGTTAAATAATTGTTGTAAGTTTGCTATTATATGTTGACTTAGCACTGGAAAATAAATTGTCTCTGATAAACAGTCGTTTGTGTTCTCAGCCCACCCACATTAATTAAAATTTCATTGCTACAAAACTCCGAGCTCTCTCCACGTGTCTTGCTGGTACCAGCCAATGGTCTCCGGGTTATTCCTTCATTTGTTTATAGAATTAGTCTGTTGATAAGTCTGCCCACCCAAGTCGAATCAAGCTGTGTTTATTTGGAAAAATTTCCGGGCACCCAATATATAAACGCACTGATCTGATGTTTGAAATATCACGTCCACCCTTTGACGCTGTAAGCACAGAGCAGAGCAGGATGTTCGCTGCTGGAGCTCGGGGAGGAGCGGGCGAGGATCCCCGCAGGAAAACTGGGGCATTCTACAACAACAACAACAAATTGCTAAAAATGAGCAGCGGAAGAAAAAGGGATGGATGAGAGGAGAGGAGGAGGCAGCGCCACGACGGGAGAGGGGGGGCTGGGAAGGAAAAGGTGTTCTGTGGAGGAATGGGGGGCCCAGGTGTGTGGGGGTCCCCTGGCAGAGCCTACATCTCCCGTCCGAGACCCCCACCCTCCGTCGGAACAGGCCACCGGGGAGCGGGCGGGGGGCGAGCCCGGGTCCAGCCCCGGGCAGGGAAGGCTGGGCCGGGGGAGACCCCCGGGGGGGCTGCAGCGACCTTCATAAAAGGGGAATTTGGCAGGAGCGGGGAGGAGGTTCAGTATTTGTGAATGCGGGCCTGTTGCTTTATATTATGTACTTTCCTGTTTATAACAAGGAGGGGGATTATAACAACTTTACAAGTGCACACAGCTGGCCGGTGCTTACATTAGGAATTTGTGATGCTCTTTTTCTGTATAAACGTCCAGGTTTGGGGCTGTGCTTTCTGTTGTTGGATTTTAATTTTGTATATATTTTATTTTATTTTTTAAGTTACTGATGTAACTGCTTTAATCCGAGGCCCCGAGGGATTCCGATGCCGTTGGAGGTGTCGACTGGTTCCCCAGCTCCACCACCCCCCTCCCCCCGGCTCAGATCCGCGTTAGACCCCAGGGAGACCCTCTTCCGTGGAGCATCATTTCTCCCGGAGAGGGAAGAGGAGGCTTGAGGGGGATCTCTTCCTCCTCCAGAGATAAATATCCCACCAGTGCAGATCCCACGACCGTGGTGGGAGTTTTACCTGGTAAGGCAAGAGGCAAAATGCGGGGTCTGGGGTGTCCTCCAGCACCGCCCGGCCCTGGTGATGCTCCCACCCTCCGGGACCTCCCTGCGAGCTCCCCCTTCACCCGTGGGGTTTCTCGCCCACTTCTGCTCCCGTTCTCCCCAGCAAACCATGGACTAAAAGGGCTTCAACCCCGGGGTAAAATCCAGCGCGATGACTTTGGAGCAGCATATGAGTCCTGAAAGTTTCAAACCGACACGGGATCCTGGAAAATACAGCCGGGGTGCGGAAGGAGGTGGCTTCTCCAGAGGGAGGAGAGGGTAGGGTGTCTCCCCGCTTACTGGCCGGTCCCAAGAAGGGGAAGGGAAACCCACCCCCCTAACACCGCCCTTGCAGCATCCCTCCCTCGCGGCGCACACACCGGGGGGCTGTGGGAGGATCCGCAGCGCCAGAAATGAGATAAACCCCCAAAGAAATTTAAAAAAAGGGGAAGTAGAAGAGTTTGGGGAGAGGGGGATTTCCCTCATCTCAACACTGGGGCCCAGCCCTCCCGGGGAGCCCGCCTGCAGCATCCTTGCCGGGGTAGGATGGGGTAGATCCCGCTGCTCCCACCCGCCCGACGCATACTCAGGGCACCCTGGAAAACACAGCCGGGGGGCGGAAGGAGGTGGCTTCTCCAGAGGGAGGAGAGGGTAGGGTGTCTCCCCGCTTACTGGCCGGTCCCAAGAAGGGGAAGGGAAACCCACCCCCCTAACACCGCCCTTGCAGCATCCCTCCCTCGCGGCGCACACACCGGGGGGCTGTGGGAGGATCCGCAGCGCCAGAAATGAGATAAACCCCCAAAGAAATTTAAAAAAAGGGGAAGTAGAAGAGTTTGGGGAGAGGGGGATTTCCCTCATCTCAACACTGGGGCCCAGCCCTCCCGGGGAGCCCGCCTGCAGCATCCTTGCCGGGGCAGGATGGGGTAGATCCCGCTGCTCCCA